GAAACCAGGAAGGTGTCTGGTCACATGTATGATTTTTATGACACCACTTCCAGAAAGAACAGAATCTTCCTCTTTTCCACTTTCCAATGACATAAGTTGGATGTGTTTTGGCAGCCCTGCTCTTGAAGTAAGTGGATTTATTGTTCCAACTCTGGACAAAGCTGACTTGAGCTTGACCATTTTAACCATTGTTACCCTTACTTTTGAAACAAGAAGGAAGATGGACATACCAAAGAGACACTGAATTTTGTTTCACTACAGTACCAAAAAAAAAGGAATGTCCATAACCAGAAACTCAAGTTTTTGTATGCTTCTATCATTTATATATTGATCATGCACCCTCACCTAAAATGCACTCAGATGCAACCTTTGTAACATTTCATAGGGCTCTGTCAATCTTGTCATAAACATCCCAACTCCTGCAGTACATTGTGTACCTATGACTCTTGTGGGTTATGCAACTTGGAATCTTTATCAATGCTATTTAGTTATACTTTTTTTTTTTTTTTTTTTTTTTCTATCAAATGTTTTAATGGCAGATACAAGTCTTGAGTTTTTTTAGTTTTTTTTTTATCAATTTTGAAGCTTCTTGTAGAATTTGGGAAGTTAAAAATAAAAAAATAAAACACTATCTGACTGAACTACCAAAAATTTGTTTAACCATTTTATGGGTAACAATTTGTCCATTGAAATAAAAACCAGAAGTAGATGACTATCAATTATGTTTCAAAGTGCAAGAAAGATTACTAGCACTGTAAACTTTAAAGATTCTTAACAAAACCCAAAGAATGGTCTGTAATGTTATCAGTCCTAACCTGGCATCTTTACTTCAGTCACTTTCTAACCACTGTAATGTAGCTTCACTCTGATCTTGGCTACAATGACCAAAGTTAAGCAATGTCAAGCCTGGTCAGTACCTAGATTGGTGACTACTTAGGAATACTAGGTGCTGTAAGCTTCAATGGTAGTGTAATGGAATTGTTAATTGGAGAGCAAAGTTCCAATTCTGGTTGGGTTTGTTATATTCACTTATGCACAAATACCCTTTCAAAAGGTATGAATCTAACTCTTCTCCTCTAGCAATGGGTTAATTAGTAAGACCTGTATCACTAATTCATTACCTCAAAAAAATTTTTAGAATCTAAAAATATTTTCTGAATTTAAATCTGCAAAGGTTAAAAAGCTGAAGAAAACTAATCACTTTTGTTTTTTCCATAAATATTTTCATGGCAGTTGTTTGAATGAATTCTTGTCTTGATACCTTGCTTGTGAATTTATGCATACTACTAGATTGGCTGCTAGGTCTTATTGTTTTACTACTGAAATAGCTAGATATAAACATGAGCTTGATTCTAATAGTTTTTATTGCACTTCTCATCTTGGGAACTCTTCAGATTCTACTTCTCCTTTTCAAAAGTTTAAATGCAATGTCAATCACCATCTTTTTGTCTCTGAATCCTGTTTTTTTTTTTTTTTTTTTTTTTTTTGTCCTTTCTTCTCACTAAAGTTTTCATTTTCTCTTCAACTCCTTTACATCTTAGTGGCATTATCACCTTGCTTGAGGTGAAATGATTAAAAAATAAAATTCTGATCCTTGAAAAATGCCACATATAAAGAATTAGAAGTGTACCATTCATTAAGAAAAGTCTAAATATTTTTGATGCATCCAGTTTCTAATAGAAAGACTAGAAATTCTTCTGAAAATTTAATCCGGAAATTAGAAGCTTTAAGAAGCCAGACATCATACAAAGTACTTCAAGTTATATTATAATCTGATTGAACAATTCACCAGTTGTAAGTCTATTTGACTTCTGTAAAATGGTTTTATTAACCTTCAGCATCTCAACACTGTACACAGAGCAACCATTTATTGAAGATATTTTGATATGAAGCAGACGTTTTGCAGAGTAGTCAGATTGTTAAAGTAGTCATTTACAGTTATTTAAAGAAATAATTATTTTTGTTGATGACAATCATTACAAGACTTTTTTTTTTTTTTTTTTTTTTTTTGAAATATTGTGTTGCTCATTTTGTAGTTTTCTCAGGGATTTTGAATTCAGTAATCTCATCTCTAACCTTGGTTTGTAACAACTAGCAGAACCTGTTTTTCTTTGCAATTTAACCTATAGCTGGAGTGGGAATCTGGTCGATTCATGCTTTTTCCCAAGGGTATTAATGTGAAATGAATGCAAACTGGTTTCAGTTGAAATTTGAACTTGGATTGCTCATACCTTTTTATTTATTATTTATTTATTTATTTATTTATATTTTCCTCAGGATATGGTTAGTTTAGCTACATGATCTTTTGACACAAGATGGACTGTGATAGTATCAAGCTGACTTTCAGTTAGTAAAACTGTCTTCACGCATATATAAATGAAATAATGATAGTCTGTTTCATCCGTGTATTGGTTGATATATTGAAAAGTAATTATCATTGATAATGGCTTATGTAAGCCAAAAGCTTAGATTGGATTTAAACATGTATCAATATGGTGATTTCCTTTCATCTTTCAATGATAACATTACTAAGCTTATCAGACAATATGAAAGGAACTTACTTAAAATAGACAAAACTTGTCTATATTATTTAATGAAACATGCATTAATGAAAATTGTTATATATATATAAATATATATATATATATATATATATATATATATATATATTTACATTGTGTGTATTTTTTGGCAGCAATCCTCTTAATGCATGTTCCCTTAACAAGACTAACAAGATAGTTCTATTTTTTATATTTTTCTTGTATGTATACAAGTTTGTATTTTTTCCTTTTAGAACTTCAGACTAAAGTGATGTTATAACTACAATATGCACATGGTGAGGGAATGCTGAAATTTTAAACTTAATTTGGTAGGTGGGGGTATTGTCTAGTCAATTTCATTTAGTTTCTTTTTCTTTAGTTTTATCACTTTTGTGATTAAGTATTCCACATTATGACTACAAATCTGATAAGAAAGGTAAAAATCTGCAATGCAAATTTACTGTGGATGAGCTAGCGGTTAAAACACTTTCTATACAGTTTCATGTTAGTAAATTAATTTCTCATTTAATTAAAGTAACCATTTTTTTTTATCATCAAAATTATGGTTACTCATTAGTATAAATAATGCATTCTTCAAAAGTTTAATTCTGAGTTTTTGGCTAAACTATCATATTAACCATTTTCAAGGGTTTTTTTTTCTTGTGCACTGTTATAATCGTATGACTAAAATTTGACATAAGTTTTAGCTGAAAGTATGCTTCATAAGTAAAGATAGACTTTCCAGTTTCAGTCTTTTTACATGAGCTTATTTGTTGAGATATGTCACAGAAATCTAAACTGTGTATAAGGCCACACATGTAGGAGCATCTGGTAAGAATATAATCCACAAAAAAATAATCTAATAAATGAGTTGTGAAGAGCAAAATATTCCTGTCTTCACTGTCACTTGGAAATTTTATTTCCTAGCCATATTTGTTTTATTACCATCAGTGTTATAAAATCTTTTAAGCTAGTATGGGTCAAATATTTGATATAAACAGGATTATATATTATGACTGGAATAACACAGGGTATCTCAAAAGTCTGACCCAGAGTTCATGTATTTAACAGTATAATTTTCACTTAAAATTGACTAGTGTTTAGATTAAGGCAAATCTATGGAAGTAAATGGATGTTGTTTTGAACATATGATGTAATGTTGCTTCCTTGTTCCTCTTCTATAAATAGTTTTATGGTAATTGTTCTCATGAACTTTCCTCTATGGTACCTAGAGTTTATGAATTGAAGTGTAGTACTAGATTGGTGGCAAGGTCTTAAAATTTTATGGTTGAAATGGCTAGATGTAACCATAAGTTCAATGGTAACAATTTATTGTATCACACTTCTTACTACTTTCTTACCAGTTAACTTTGCATTTAAATTTTTGATCATCAAAAAAATCAGTTATCTCCTGTCTTCTTTATTGTTCTCTCTTTAATAGTGTTTTTTTTTTTTTCTTTTTTCATCTTGCATTTTCTAACTCGGTAACACCTTGTCTTAATGGCTTTATTGCCTTGTTTGAGATGATAAAATCAACAAAAAAAAAAAAAAATAACCTTGTGGATTTCTTTCCTACAGGACAAGACTTTTGATCACTATATATATATATAGTCATCCACAGTTTCACTGTATCACAGCTCAGTGTGGTTAGAGGTTCAATTACTTCAAGCCAGGATCAGTCAGATCTTGTACCTCTAGGTCATTGCCACAGGGAAGGAAGGGAATTTTAACATCTTTCTCTATACAAAACATGCCAGCAGCTCATAGAACTCAATTCAATTTTACTTGAGTAATGCTTAATAGCAATAGGAGCCGCTGTTTTTTAAAACCACCTTTTTCTCTACAGAGGTCAACTGGATTTCCAGGAGTGTGTGTGTGTATATATATATATATATATATATATATATTGCATTAGGTAGGTTAGGCATTGATTTAATCTCTCTTACCTTAAATCTCTCCTGTGAGTATCCAATTTTCCTATCACTCTTTCCTCATTAATTGTTCAAGAAATTTCAATTGTCTGTTTCTCATTTTTTTGGGGGGGCGGGCATTTATTCTAAAACTTCATTGTTGCTCACATGTTTGGTCCATGGTATTATCAGCATCTTTTTTGTAGAGCCATATTATTGTTGATTAAAGTCTCTTAATCTTTGAGATTGGCCAGCATTCACTGCCATATAGGAGGACTTATACTATATAACAGTTCACTATTTTCTTTGTTTCTAAAAAAATGTTTCTATTTCTTAATGCTTTGCTTAACTTTTGTAAGGTATCTTCCACTATCCCAATGCATCTTTGGATTTCAGTTCTGCAGTTTCCTTCATTTGTTAAAACACTTTCTACAAATTTAAATTGTTGTTGTTTGATTTTGCTATCTCCCAATTTGTAATTTACATATTGGGCTGTCCCTTTTGTTAACAACCATGCATTCTGATCACTGTTTTATTTTTTGTTTTGCAGATCCACTTTGAAAATATTGGTGCTGAAGATATTGTTGATGGGAATCCTCGTCTAATTTTGGGTCTTATCTGGACCATTATTCTGAGATTTCAAATCCAGGAGATCAGTGAATTTTTGGTAAGTACAGTTTATTAATAATTTTTCAAACATACATTAAGACTGCTTGTTTGCATATATATTTCTAATAATGCAGATTGTACACTTTAGAAAAATATTTATGTATTAAACAAGTGCCTTTGTTAATAATTTTTACATGAAATTTTAAATTGGAAGTTAACAACCTTTGCTACTGAATTGATAGGAGTGCAGAAAAGTTCTCAGCCTAACAAAGAATGGAAAATAAAATAATTTTGTCCAATTTTAGGGGGTGGGTCATTTCAAAACAACCTAATACACTGATCTACTTTGACTCTTATACTCATCTTGATGTTTCATCCTTTTGTTTCTCTGGGTTGCCTACAGATGTCATATTTGGTAACCTTGTAGGGATCTTGACCATTAATTAAACCCAAGAGGGAATCTGAATAATAGAATAGTAATGGTGGATAAGAATCTTGAAAGAAGCAACACATTTGCAAGTCTTGAATAACTTAAGTCAGCTTTGCATGAAATTAAATGTTGTATGAAGGCCTTTAATTATGAAAGAAAGCAAATGAAGCCTAAGATTCAAGTTAGACCACAATATTTCCTCATAGATAAAGAGGCTAGATATAATAGATGTGGTTCTTCTGAAGGATGCCGAGGAGATCATGAACTGACCATCTAAGCATAAGTCTTAAAGAAAATAGAAAGAAAAATACACTTAGAATTAAAGAGCTAAAATTTCTCTGACATATGAGGAAGGAAGGCTTGAAGAATTTGATACTCACAATAAAGATTGAAAGCAAAAGTGGAAGGCAGCAGGCTGTCTTCCTGATCAGCTTGTCTGAATGAGTGGCAGGACTGGAGTGGGGAGCATTGTTAGATGGATATTTAGAATCAGAAAGATAGTTAAAATTTCTGGCATGCCTGAGGAGGATAGAAGTCTTGGAGAATTTGACACTCACATGACTTATTGAAGGTAAGATGGGCAGAGGGCAGTAAGTAAACTACCTAATGTGCTTATAAGACTAGCTTCTTTAATGTTTTTGTCTTTAGTCTGGTACAAATGTGTGTGTGTGTGTGTGTGTGTGAGAACTCAGTAATGATTATACTTGGTCATAGACAGAAGACATGAATTTTTATTAGATACTGTTTTGAATAAGATTGACATTTTCTTTTTATGACTCCATTTTTGATTGATTTACTGATTTTGTTTCTCCTATATTGTCCTTTTCGCCTACATGCTTATAATTTATCTTCTGACCTGGTGTTATAGATCACACACACACACACACACACACACACACACACACGAAGCAGTTTTATGTCAAGAAAGGACAGACTTGAAATGCAATGCATTAATCAAGTAGTCTTTTGGAAGGCGCTTGACTTTTATTATGACTCTGTGCTATTTATCATCCAAACAAGGGACTGGTCTTCATTCTGAGGTTTTAGGCCACTGTCTCACCATCCTAACGTTGCTACCATGGTTTCCATAGCAAGTATGGTTTTACAGGGTGGGATTTCCAGTCCAATGTCTAACTGGTTATGAATTCACTTATTCTTTTCCCAGACTATCTGCCAACCAAGGTTATAGAATCCAGTCTGCCTTGCTATTTTACTAACATCTAGAGATGAGAAGAAACTCACTCTTTTCTTTTTTTCCAAGAGTATTTGTGTAAAAGTGAATGCAACAACCATGGTTGAAATTTGAACTCTGTATCCTGATCCCACTTTGTTGACTACTACTATGCTATGTACACATCCATAGGCACATGGCCGAGTGATGAAAAAGATTGCTTTCTGACCACGCGATATGGGTTTGAATGTTATGGTTAATTCGTCAGTAAGGTGTCTTCATGTTATCAGTCTGGGGGAGACAATCATAGCCTGTGACATCTTTGGAAAAGGCCTGAAAACCTTACTATGGGTTGACCCAAGCCATTAGTGAAATTGGGTAGACAGAATTATTTGGGAGCTGTTGATAGCTGTGCTAGCACAAAGTCACAAGTCATCATAACTGAGGGTTTTAGCATTCTAAGTGTTTTTTAACCTGTTGATCATTCTCTCTCTCATATATATATATATATATATATATATATATATATATATATATATATATATATATATATATATATAGTGACAGTCTGCTCGATATAGTTGCAGTATAAACCACAGGTGGGCTCTGAACAATGTGCCTGAGCAACAGGAATCATTATAGGCACAGCCACATACAAGCAAGACTGACAGAAATTCCATGGTGATCAAATCCTCAACAATTGAGAATTGCATAATTGTATATTTTGGTAATATACAGTAAAAATTTCATGAGTCGATATTATCTATAAAAAAAAACTTTTTGTGTTGGCATTATCTGCTTGGTTGTTTCATATATGTTTCTATAGTCAGTCATGCATGGTTCCAAAGCTCTCAATTTGTATTGCCAGCATTGTTGGGATGAATAGATTGGTAAGGAGTTGGTAGTGGGAAGAGATCCATATAGCAGTTGTCCAGTATCACCTAAAATACTCACCCAGGCTAGCAGGTGAAGCCCTGAAGAAAACCTCTATGTATAATATGGAAAACAGGATTCACATTCTTATTTCTCAATGGGCCATTTTTTTTTTTTTTTTTTTTTTTTTTTTTTCCATTCAATCACCATGTGAGCATGCAGCAGGCCCTTGACCAGCCTCTGGCTTTTTTTTTTTTTTTTTTTTTTAAATGAACAATGCTTTTAAAAAAAGTAGTTTATGATCATATGTAATAATACCGAGACAATAGGTTTGTCATTTAGTAGTGAGGGATATGAATATGTAATATTATGTCCCAAGTGCAATGTGTTTGGTTGCAAGTCTCTGTTGTACTTTTGTGTATATCACAAAGTTCACCCTAGACCTTGAGTGCAACCCATCTATCTGATCCATTGGTAAAGATGCTGGAAAAATAGTCAGCTCTTTATACCACTCCATGAAGTACCCAACTAAACTTGTCATTCTCTACCTTTTTATAAGAATCGGATGAGAGAAAAAATGGGGTATTGCTACTTAATCTGTACTGGAGCTGTCTAATCCCTACCTTTCAGCCTCGGCTGTGTTTGTGACCTTCTAGATGAATTCTTTTCCATACTACAATGTCTTCTCTACAAAAGCATTGCAAGCTTCTTGTTATTCTATCACTATTACCATGAGAAATATTTTCACAAGTTACAGTCCCTAGTTCTGCCAGTTCAGTCATTTACAATTAGATTATTTAATGTACAGAGGCAAACCATCCTTATTCCTTTCATATTTCAGTGGTAAGGCAGTTCCATTTGGACATCTTCTTGCCAAGGTTCACTGCTTTGTGAAATGGATGTCAAAAGATGCTTCCTAAATGCTACAGTCAACCATTATCTCTAGTACATATCCTGATAATCTGCAATTCTTACATCCATAAAACAACCACATTTACTAACAGTTGATGTTGTGGCTACTGGGCTTTGTAGTAGGTGAAATATATACTATTAAAAAAGTCAAAACAAAGCAGTTTTGGTTTAGAAAGATTTATTCAGAATTTATGCTTAAACATCATTTGGCATAAAGATTAGGATTCAGGTGTAAGAAATTTTCATGGTCTGATCAAATTATTGATTGGGTCTGAGCTTTTTATATTTCTGTCTATCCACACTTATTTTAGGCATATGTTTGGAGACAAGTGTTTGGTATTTCTTATTTAATATTGGTTACATCAGACTTCCTATGAGGAATTTATAAATATTAAAACCAGATTTTTTTTTTTTTTTTTTTTTTTTTTTTTTTTATCCTTTTTAATAAGATCTTTTTCAGTGGCTTAGTTGATGAATTGGAATAGAAAAATATATCAGATGAGATGTCTGTCTTAAAACATGCATAGCTTGTGTTTTTGTAAGAGAAAGATTTGCGGGGTGGAGTCTTTTATTATTTATTTATTTATTTATTTATTTTTTTTTTTAATACATTTAGATTAACAAAATTGGGACATTTAGGTTTATTGTAAAGAAAAAAAAATGTAATTTCTTTACATTTGTAGAACTTTTTATAGTGTGCATTTCATTAAGAGTGAAAAACTAAAAATACAAAGCTTTTTATCTTCTCAGTTATGGGGTAAATAGGACTTGTATGTGGAAAAATCATTACAAGTCATTCACAAAAAAATTCTTGTAATCCAAAATGTTTCAGCTTCAAATAACCCACAAAAGGTTAATAAGGCATAAAAAAACATATCAAATCTTTAGTCTTATTTTTGTAGCATTTTATCCCAACACTCAGCTTGGATTTATTTTATGAGTATTAAGTAAATACTGTGAATTGAAGACTACAGAATATTTTTCAGTAAGACTTAAAACTTTCTTTATTGGGAGCTTCTTTGTCTTATCAGGACAGAGTATTCCCAATTACAGTGATAAAGTGAAATAACATGTTATTAAAGATTGTTTGAACCAGACAATGTGAAAAATGCTAATTGAATAACACTGAAGCTTATAATATAACCTGAGGAATTTCCCATTTTGTTTTTGGATGAATATACTTATCCTAAAAGGGCTTAAATTGATAGAGGACTACAGAATTAGGTTCTTTTTAATATTCAGATCTCTGATATTTAGCAAAGTTAGTTGAGGTATTGTCTTTGTGCTGATAGGGATTGGGTTCAGGGCATTTTCTTTGCACAGTGTACTGTTATTTATTGAAATCAATAAGTTTAGATATTTTTTGTCTAATTTCACCTTTAGCAATATGATACAGCAAGTGGTTATAGCTGACAATTTAGATATTACTGAACAGGTTTGGCACCATGCGTGTCATCCATATGAAAGTCTACGTCTGACAAAGGTATTTAAGAACATGACCTTCAGTTTTCAGGTTAAATTCTGAAATATAGTAAAAAGGACACATGGGTTTGAAAGGTCAAGAGCTGTTGGTCTATAGCTGAGAAAAGATTCATGAACATTGCAAATTTTGTTCAGATAGTTGAACTCTTTGCTCTAGAGCAGTAATGGGCAAATTGAGGCCTGTTTGGCT